AGAAAAATCATCATACCACACCTACTACATAACATCAGAGGCTATGTCCATGTGTGACAATTCAAGACCCGTGTTTCAGTTTAAACCATGTTGAGTCAGTAGCATCAACTTTCCCATGGTGCAACTAAAAACCAATGTTTATGAAGATAGAAAAATCATATAAAAACTAAAATAATAACTGACATAGCCATTCTACAAGTTTCTATCCGTAGAAACTATTTATTTAGGTATGGTCTAAGGCCTACTTTGGTTTAAGTAAGATTGTTTAGTTGGTTAAAGCACCTAAATTTACTTGTCAGTCAGTGATGAATATTTTTATCGACACAGGTGACTACTTGAAAATTACTTAGTTTCAATCTACTCACAATAAAATATATATGTCCTGCTATAAGTTTTATAGCAAGAAAGTATAGAATTACATGATACAAGATAATTTTTTTTTGTTATTGTTAACCCTTGCACAGTAGACTAGATCTGAACTTTGAAATAACAGATCTTTTCTAGCTCCAGTGTACAAGTGACATATATCTGTATAAAGGCATTTGTTATAATCAAGGAAAATGAGTATAGTAATCTATTGTACATGTACAGTCTAGAAAATTAGATATTGAAAACCAGTGATGTACAGTAAGCTCATATTTCGTTATTGACCCTAAATGGAAGTGGTTTCATGTATACTATTTAAAATATAGTGTTAAACAATTTCTATGAAATTAAACTTTTTCTTTCAAGTACTGCAAAATTTTTGTATTATAGTACAATTTACTGGTATATCAGCAATTAACTAAATCAAAAATTAGATGTTGTTGATTTTTTGTAATGTGACAGTACTGTTTATATTATTATAGGTATACGCTTTACCTAGCTGTATATTTAATAAGATTTTAATGTTTTTAAGCTCGGGGCTTGTTAACAGATATACTTGTACTGGTTTTGGTATTTCGCCTTGGTGAATCTGATGTGTGAGTAAGATGGTAAACAAATGAATTGCATCTACTTTACATAATTTTAATTTAAGTTGTAGCACATTGGTATTACATTTCATTTATATACACATATATTGTTGATAAAAGTTTGAAAAAATACTTTTATCATCACTTACATGTGACTTTGAGATACTTTAATGTAGACTAGAAATTATCACTGTACTGTACACATAGTAATTCATCAGGTTAGTAGCTCCGTGTGTTCAGACTTTGATGTTAGGTGATGACGAGTAATTGGTGATCGTGTTTGAGATTGAAAATATGTTGCTACTGTTTGACCTTGAGATAATTAATTGAGCATTAGAATAGCAAGTTAATGTATGAAGGTTTCTTACGTGATATATCACATGACCTCTTTTCTCTCTTATCACAGTCCTGGGTGCTAAGTTGCTTAGCAAGGTTTATAACAGATGTTCTGATCTAGAGTTCATACAGTTTTTACATGCAGTATACGTAAACTTACCATTAACCAAAAATTAAACATAGTATAGTACGTTTATGAGAAGCTTTATTTATATTAAATGTTTTGAAATAAGATATTCTGTGGTTTTTATTCTACATTATAATAGTTACAAAGCACAATGTTGAAATCTTGTATTGTCACTGTATGATGTACATAATGTATACTGAAGATACTTGCACATACAGGATGTGGGAATACCCCATTGCACCTTAGATTTTACTTTTCATATGTTCCATTACAATAGTTAAAAGTCACATCAAAGTAGTTTTTCTAATCCAAAGTCTGCAGCCATTGCACGTTTTATTTGGAATGAATGCTTAACTAATTTAAAGAGCTTTAAGTGAATAATACATCTAGAAAACATAAAAGATATGGAAAAATATCGTAGTCTATTCCAAAAACTAGGACTGTGCTTCATTATTAATATTTTTCTTTATTGTTTTAAGCTGACATTCTGGTTTTGAATATTTGTCATGGATGTACCGTACTAGTGTCCTTGAGTTTTCTTCCATCCACCAGTAAAGTTCTTTTTAACATTAAAGATATTTGCACATGTTTTTTTTGTATTAAAGGTTTTTAATCAAATTTGGTTTGAAAAAAAGTTGAAAAACGTGTAAATATGTAAAAGAAGTAAAATATATAGAAGGATACACACGTGCATATCCATTTGGAAATGTGCTTACTTGCTAGACATTTCTTTCAGATTTTATTGCTAAGATTATAAAATATCAAATCAATTGCTAGCATATTGTTTTACCACCTCATAGTTGATATTTTTGCTCGAGTTAAGTGAGACGAGACTTGTACATCTAATTCAACAATGAAACATGGACAAAGTTTCTCATTATACTTTACTCAAGATTACACCTACAATTCCTGTACTTGTGCTGTCAAACAGGAAATCCAGTGTTTTAGTGGTACATTTATCCAGTCATTCTGCTAATTATTTTCATGTTCACGTGTATATTCTGGATTGAAAATTCAAGTCACATCTCGCTAATTTCATCCTTGGCTAGTCTTGCTTGGTGATTGAATTCTATTCACATAAGTATTTTAAAACAATTGTTTTAAGGTATTGTAGGTAGCCTCATATATGTAGTAAAAATATTTTTGTACATAATGCTAGTATGAATTTGACATTAAATCAATGAGTTTTATCCATTAATATGCTATGAGCTAATACAGTGCAGATGTATGTATTTTTTCTTGCTGTTATTGAAAACATATAAGCATTAATATTGTAAACTTATAGCTTTTTACTTCTACCCCATTTTCTTTGATAAATGTACAGTGTAGTTGTAACCCATGTGACAATAATGTTCTTAATATCACATAATTGTTTTGATATAGTTCATATAACAGCATTCTTCTTTACACATTTTATTATATTCTAAATGTACTTTAAATAACATTGCTCTCTTTAAAATACATCTGCATGCTATACTGGCCTGAGGAGTCTTTTGTTTCATCAGTTTTGTGTATTAGGAATGTGATAAGAGTAGTGTTATAGGAATGGATGAGTAAAAGCATTATGTATTCTATGAATAATTTCTTTAAAATGAAGTTTCTGTTTACTAGATATAAGATATAAACTAAACAATTTCCATACGTTGCTTGACATAATGTCAGGACATTCCTGAGTTGCTAAATTTCTGTAAAACTAAAACTTTGAGACACTTGTATTGTAAGCTTAAAATTATAGTCAACATATGGTTCTCATTTGTAAAGAATGTCTGTGGTCAAAATAACTAGTTATCTAATGTAAACGTTTAATCTTATGTTTGCAGCCAGTTTTTATTTTTCTTTTGTAAACTATGTTATTTATATTGCTACTTATATTCCACTATTTAATCATTTAAGAGAGTTTCAACAGAAGTTTCTGATTTTCTGTAAAGGCTGAACATATTTGCTTAGTCTGTTACCTTATCCTAAAACAGAAATGCTAACTCTTGTGTCAGAGCTATAGGCCCTGGACAGAAACTAATTTACAGTGTTTTATTATCAAAGCTAATTTGTACTTTAAACTTACTTAATTTTTGCTTGACTTAAAGTGACAAGGTATACACTTTAGAATTCTGGACATTTTTTTTTAAACATTCCTGCAGATTAACGTTATAATGACAATCATTAACTTTTGGTATCTACCTATAATCCACTTTTACAAAGCCAAACTAGGTCTTGTTCTTTCAACAGCTTGTATGAATGTTTTTGAGGTAAAAGCTTCTCATAAACTTATATTTTGAAAATATAATGATTTAAGAACCAAACTTTTTTTGCACACATATATATATGCATGAAAATAAAATTATTTTCTGATTTTTAGAATAGTTATAAAAATTAACAAGTGAAAGTTTTTTGTGGATTGATATGAAAAAATACGTGTGATGTGGTATGAATTATGAAAAACATAAACAGTGGACTTCTGAAGATAAAGTAATTAATCTAAAGAATATACATGTATATGCTGTTTTCTTTAAATTTGTTTGAGTTTACACTTGCAAAGAATATTTCATTCTAAAATATACATTTTTAACTGTTGCTATCTTCAATATCACTTTAAATATATAAAGATTAGGTTTATCTCAAATCAGCAAACAGACTCTTCATTCATGAAATATAGTATTATTTTTCACCCCTTATGAGGTGTAAAGTTATGAACTATGTACTCTTACAATTTTAGCCTGTTTTTATTGTACATTTTTATTTGTTTGTGTGAGAGAAATTAAAAAATATTTGTGAATGGGTTGTTAAGTTTCTGGATAAATTATGAACCTGCAAAATTGTTGCAAGTAGATTATTCAACTACAAATGTGATCACATGGTACTTATTGTCAGGAAGGGGAGTTAGCTAGTTGGATCATGAACTTTGGTAGCTCAGTTGATAGAACATTGACCTAAGGACATTAGTTAAGTGTGTAGCCTGGGGGTTGAAATTTCAGACTCTGTTCAAGGCATGTTGAATTATATTGTGAAGCGGTCCATTTACATTGCTGCCCATTGAATTTTTATGGCTGTTTCAATATGTGTATTTGGCTCAGTAAGTGCAGAGAAGTGGTTTTTGCATGATTATTGATATGTTAGATATTGTTTTCTTGCTTGATGTGTCAGATTGTGTATTAGTTCAGACTTGAGGACAAACTTTATTATAACTAGGTAGACATTATGATTGAGATAGTGAAATAAATACATGCATAATTAATAAAAAATTAGTCATGAAAACCTTTTGTGAGCCCCAGTTCTCGTAGATATTTTAACATCCTGAATTTTTTATAATGTAAGCTCCTGATACATTTTAAATAATGTTTTTAGAAGTTTTAAATAATAAATTTTTTTGAGTACAAAATACATCCTGTATATTTGTATTTTCTGATGACTTGCACAATGTTGGGAATTTTGAAGAAGTTAAGATCTGAGCAAATGTGCATTTTTACTACTATGTGGAATTTTTAGCAAAAATTAAAAAAATTATGAGCTGTAAATCTTCCTATAGCCCTTCTTTAAATTTATACGTATTTATTTTATTAATCAATTTATCAATTTTTTTCTTTTAGAAATTCTGAGAAACGAAAAGAGAAGTCTCGTGATGCAGCTCGCTCTCGTAGAAATAAAGAAACAGAAATCTTTTGTCAGCTTGCAAGCCAGCTGCCTGTTACTTTTTCTCAACTGGATAAAGCTTCTCTCATGCGTCTAACAATCAGTTACTTGAAAATCAGACAACTACTTAACCCTATGACAGGTAAGAGCTTGTTTTTATTATTTACTGCAGATTAAAGTAGACCATACTTTTTAAGTTTTGTTAAATTTTGTAGGTTGTTATTTAAGGTTGTGATCAACTTTGTTTTAGTTCTAAAATGGGCAAAAAAATATTTTTCTAGATTAATATAGTTTTCTCTTATGGATATGAATAGATATATATATATTTTTAAAGGACTAGGAATATTTTTTGAAATTATCATAACACTTTTTCTGATGATACATTATTCTGTGCAAGCTTTTAGCCAAGGACTTGTTCACCCATCTTTTGGATGGACAGTTGTGTCTATGAAGACCTGCAAAACTTGAACAGATGGATTCATTAAACTTTAGAAACATTGGGATTTTCAGGCTACAATGGGAATTGAGTATTGTTCACTATATTACTGTATAGTTACATTTACACATACATCAAAATACAATGTGCATAGGGACTTAGGCTCCATATTACCAAGTTAAGCTAGACAAATTAACTGTTATGAATATCTATCATCCACTTAAACACTTTAAGCTCCAGTTTATCAACTCAACAGGCCCATTCTTATAAACGGCTACATCTACGTGTAGATTTGCACGTGTGTAGTTGATTGGACTAGATTAACATCTACAAACTATTATATAGGGAACTTTATATTTTTATATCTTAAAAAATACTAGTTTAACTTGAATTTATGTAATTAGGAGAAAAAAATTAACAGGAATGAACAAGACAGAGAGCATGTCACATCCTATATCAAATGGAAAAATGTTTCATAGATAAACATTTATGTACAAATTTATATAAAGCATTAATATATAGTTTTATAAATATAAATTATATTGCTGCCTTTTTTAATAATAATATACTATCTTAAGCCTACCCAATTTAACCATATTAAATTAATATCTGAAACTGATTATATGCACTTTAGAAATATTAATTTTTTTGCACAATTGCTACATTTGCTAGTTTGTAGTGTTAACTTCTGTTCAGCTCATTAGTATGGTTTGTTAAGTGACTTGCTGGCACTTCAGTTGTATTTGTGCATTAAATAAGAAATGTCTGTTTGGAGTAAATACTTTCAAAAAGTGTTGCTCTGAGAAGTTTGAATTTATATTAACAAATTTTGGGGACATTTACTGTGATTTTATGTTAGCAGAAGTTATGTTAATCTTTAGATAAATCTTAATGAAATATATTTACAGTTCATATGCATTTTTAAAAACTATGTATAGATATAAAGTTCAGTAACATCATGCAAGTTTGTGACTGAAATAAATTAACTGTAAATCTGTTGTAGTTAACCCTTTCATAATGTAAAGCTTTTTGTATAAAGCTTTTTGTATTTTGAATGTCTGCTGCACTTATGCCCATGAAATTGATATACTCAGAAACAAAAAATAGAAAAAAATTACAAGTACTGTCAGATTACAAGTGCACTACACATTTATTCTCGTGAAGAAGGTAGTTTATAACTACAAGCCAGTGAAGCAAATAAAAACATATGTGACCTCTTTTTTTGTTTTTGACATTTCATGGAACTGGTTAGATGGTGTTAGATTTACAGCTGGCTGTTATTCATCAGCATTCTCAGAACTGATGTATTTATTTTATATCATTAACTGTACACTTATTAACTTCTAAAACTTAAGTTAATTAAGTACAACTAAAATACAAGTAGTGTAAGGAATTGTTATTTTATATAACGTTTTTTTTTCTAATGTGTATTATTGTGGTTTATAATTATGTTTGGTAGATTAACAGTATGTTTAAATACTGTTTGGTTTAAGAAATATTGAGGCTGTATGTACTTATTATTTACTTATATGTATTGGGTATATAATAAACTATTATATGTATGGCTCAGTATGTTAAAAAAAGTTTTAGTTTTAAAAGTCTAAGCATTTAAAACCACCATTTGTCCCTAATGGGTATACAGTACGTTTATGGTTTCAGAAACCTAAAATTTTGGGTTTGATTCCCCATGATGGACAGAGTGCAGATAGCCTGTTGTGTAACTGACCATTTTGTATCAATGATTTATTTTTTGTGTTGTTCTTGTACAATGATTTATTATATATACATTTGTTTGAAAACAATTCTTAAACTATCATGCTTTTGATATTTCTCAGTTCAACTGTTTTTTTTCTTTTGACACTGTTTTAAACTGTTTGGCTAAAACTGTAGAAAGATTGAAATCAACAAGTTGTGAAGACCAGTGGATTAGATTTTGCTAATTATAGATGAAAAGTCAAGGTTTCAGCATATACTAATTTTAATTCTGAATTTATTTAATGCTTAAAACAAATGATAAAAGTTGGTGTACAAGTTATGTAGCAACAAGAGAGAAAACTCTGGGATTGTCTCTGTTTGTGTTTCTTCTGCACAGTATAATGGATATAGACTAAATCAAATGGTTGGTATTCAGGGATTCACTGGCAAAGTTTTAGTAACTAATAATTTTTGTATTCAAACAAAAGTTTACCTTAGTTATTTAAAAGTGAAACTGTGTTTGATCGAATGTCGTTTGGAGGTCAATTGATTCTATCTTGTTGAAATTCACTTAGACTCATAGATTTTCTATCCTTGTCATCCCCCTAGTGGCTCAGCAGTAAGTCTGAAGGCTTATAACACTGATGGGCACAGCATGGATAGCCTATTGTGTAGCTTTGCGCTTAACAACAAACAAACTATTCTTGTCACACAGTATAAGTTGTCTTTATGGGCATACATTTTGTTTGTTAAATTGTAAGCAGTTATATTTAAGGAAAAGCTAACTTTTAAGTAAAATTCATATGTTCAATATGAATAACATAATGTAATATAGCACTTGCTAGATTTTCTTTTTTTCGTGATTTTTGTAATTGGTTTTAACATAAACAAAAAAAAGATTTGTAAATGTTTCTGAAAAATGATCATAACTAACTAATAGACTGATATAAAAAGTGTATCTGTTTCTTATTTCACCTAAAAATAGTTACTATTATGAAATTCTAAACTTTTGTCTTGTGTTTAATTATGTGCCAAAGATATCCCAGTGCATAGGACTGGAAAGGTAAAACATTTAATGTGGTTGTAGTCACACCTGAATAAAATAGTTACACGTTTATGAACTTCTAAGAGAGTAAAGGAATATCTGTGATATAGCTACTTAAAAAGAGTATTTTATAAAGAGCTGTTTGATACACACTCGTAGTTGTTTTAACTTCTTTTGTTTTAACAAAATTCTTTTAGCACACACACACACACACATTTGAATATACAGTTTTGAAAACTGTTTTTGTTGCACTGTGTGATAAGTGTGTGTGTGTAACATACTTGAAACACATGACAAAATGACCTTTTAAACTATAACTGCTTTACTAATGGTATCATGAAACAAAAAGTACATCATATGATTATTATCAAAAAGTTTATTTTTGGATCATTACTATTATGTTTATTTTCATAAGATGCATAATACCATTCATAAACATTAAAAAAAGAGCTGAAGATTAAACCATGTCTTCTTATTTCTATTTATTTTGAAGACAAGACATAATGTAAGAAATAAATGGAAACTTTAATTAAATATGAGATCCACCCCCTGTGGTGATGTGCTATATAAATACAAGTAGAGCTCATCATAGCAATATTTTTTAAATAGTTTGAATCCTCAAAACTGAGAACCCCATGGTCTGTTCTGTTGCTTAATTAGGCTTAATTTTAACCACTGGTTCACAAAGAAAGAAAAAAAAAGAGTTGCTAACACACTAATAAAAAATCAAAGGAAAACTATACCATAAAATACCAAGAATAACAACATTTATTTTTAATGTAGTGGTATTTTGTTTGTGATAAAAAGACAAGTATTGTGCATGCAATAAAGATGAAAAGTGAACTTAACATATTTTAAATTTAGCCTACGTATTGGCTACTACCATACCATTGCATCGCTAAAAGTCCTACCATTCTTCAGATACATTATTACACATGGTACAATCTGAAAAAACAAACCTCACCACATACACATATGCACTAGCGTTCAGTGCTTCCAGTCATATATCTGACTTGTTTAACTTTAAATGAAATTTTTTTGAGAGTTTTTTAAAAATTGACTGATTTGTCAGTCTCTTTAGGAATCAAAAGCAAAGTGTTTGTTATGCTAGAGTGGAGATGTTACCATGTGCTAATACACGTATAGATAATTTCATTTGGTAAATGATTACCTTATTCAGTTTAGAAATATAAGCAGACCCTACCTAAACCATTTGTAATTGTACACTATTTAATTGATAATGCTGCCAATTGTATGCTATTTAATTTATAATGCTGCCAGTTGTATGCTATTTAATTGATAATGCAGCCAATTGCATACTATTTAATTGATAATTCTGCCAATTGCATACTATTTAATTGATAATTCTGCCAATTGCATACTATTTAATTGATAATGCTGCCAATTGCATACTATTTAATTGATAATGCTGCCAATTGTATGCTATTTAATTGATAATGCTGCCAATTGTATGCTATTTAATTGATAATGCTGCCAATTGTATGCTATTTAATTTATAATGCTGCCAATTGTATGCTATTTAATTGATAATGCTGCCAATTGGAATACTATTTAATTGATAATGCTGCCAATTGGAATACTATTTAATTGATAATGCTGCCAATTCTAAGGAAATAAAATATCTAAGTGATGGGTAAAATATAGTTTTCATACAAGTTTTATTAGCACTGAGGTCTTATTTTTGTTTTTCTCTGGCTAAATACATGCACTTGCAATCACAATGACATACATTTAATAATTTCCAGAAGTTTACTTTAAAAAAGTAAAGAATAATGACTACAATTGTCAATACGACAGAAAGGAATGTAATAATTAATATAACATACTGATTTTTTATTAACTAATATGTAAGGATATTATATAGCTTTTTTTCTGTAATGTGCACAACATGTATCGATATGGCAACATGAGATCTTCAGATATATGCTACCCAGTATTCATAATTCTTGCTTAGTTGTAAGAATGTTACTGTGATTGAATATGTTATCGTATTGTAGCCGTATGATTGTTGCCATATCAGCTTGAAGGCAGGGCCTATCTAGGCTTTATAGTAATGTCTCTTGGGATCCCGGGGCAACCTGTGATCCCATTTAATTTGTCCTGTGTAAACTTAATCATCTTATAGATCTCATATTATCTAAAATATGGGTACTTGCAATAAATTTAATTTTCGAATTTGCTTTAAGCTATTTTTTTAGAGTAGAACATTAGACAACATATGTGTATACCCACCAAAAAAAATAGGTTTGCTACTATGCGATCCTTGCACAATTTTTGAATTAAAATATTCATTGTTAAGAGTATGGAACTTGTGTTCAGTTCTTGTCTGGAGCACTTAACGAAGATTAATCTCACAGAACCTATTTTTCAGTTGTTACATATCTTTAATTGGAAAGAGAGAGAAAACTGTAAAATTGGCATGGTAGTTTTTTTTAAGTTCAAAAATTGATGCTAAGAATAATAATGAATGTTTCTACATATACTGTTATGGGTGGCTTATTGAAAGTTAAATCTAAATATTTAGATATTGGGATTTGTGTGTTTCATCATAACAAAGTACAACAATAAGAAGCTGTTTGAAATTTAAATGATATAAAGAACTAATGAAGGTTTGATTTACATGACTGTAACCATTTCATTTAGACATACATGTACAAAAGACTTAGTTTCTCATTTCATGTAGTATTACTCCATTTAATCTAAGTTCAAGATCTTTTTTTTTTCTCACAAATCTTCACTAGAATTTACTTAATGAACGAACACTGAGATATTTTCTCAGTGTTTTTAGTGATCATCCAGTATGTCTGTATTTCAATCCAAAAAATCTAAATTAAAAAAGTTAATTTAAATTCTCTGCAGAAATTCAGAAAAGTCTACTATCCAGCCCTAGTAAGTGGGATTCCGCTTTCCTGAAGGCATTGGAAGGATTCTTGCTAGTGTTATCAGAAGAAGGAGATTTTGTGTTTTTGTCAGAAAATGTCCATCATTACCTAGGCCTTACTCAGGTATATTTTTGGTTTTGTTCCTTCACTTGTTTCTAATTCTTAATTGTTTAGTGCCCAGTAGTGTTCAATCATCAAATCAACACTTTAAAGCATGTGACAGTTTTTTTATGGATACTTCTTATACAGTGCAGTTTACAAGAAATATTTCAACAAACATTATATGTCATCATTAATTAAATGTACAGAATTTACTGTTTTGTAATTGTTTGTTTTATTAACACCTCTTTTGTTTAATCCGCACTATTGTGTGAATTATTCATAAGTCTGTAGATTGTGTTTATTTTTTATAAGCATTGGTTTTAAAAATATGCTGAAGATTACAGCATTTTAGAAGGATGTATGTGCATCCAGTGCTACGCTCTTCGCAACTTGAACTTCTCGGAACTCTAAAGCGTTCTTTGTGCTTTGATCTAAAGTCTTAGTTTTATGTAAAATGTAGGTTGCATCATATTACTTCCTATAAACAGTTTTAAACCAAGATTAGAAGAGTAAAAATGTGACTTCCTAATGCTGTTAAAAACATTGGTGAGACTAAGTGCTGTGTTCACAAGGGTTCTGATGTTAAATGTCAAGGCCTCAGAAGTTGGCTACACTTTTAAAAAATGAAAAACAAACAGGAATGGTTACAGCCCATCAGAAGAATCAAAGAAAATATAGCATATGAAGACATTTACATAAACATGGCCAAAAAAGGAATAATTAATGTGCTCTGGAATTGAGGTATCAATAATGTTTAGACAACTTGTAGGAAAAGTGGGGATCAGTAGTATCCATATTAATGTAATTAGTTTAAACTGGCTGAATTAGGTTTTTGTCTTAAACATCAGTAACGTTTGTAATAGGTTCAACTCAGGGCTTGTATTTCACTTGCCTATAGCCGTTAATAAAAAACACTGTTTAATTGTAACTATCTAGATGTTTTTAAACTGGGTGTTGATTTAGTAGAGTACTGAATCATGATGTAATTAACAAACTACTTGAGGTGTATAGATTGTAGTTTCATAACTTGGACTATTGTCATTTAATTTTGGCCTGCTTATTTGACTACATTGAGACAGAACTCAAATGTTTGGATTTTCACTCATATAATACTTTATATAGGTTAATTTTACTCCTAGGTTTGTAAGCTTTCTTTTTACGTCCATTATATTCAGTGTATTTCCATTTTTTCAACCGATCTTACTGGTTAACTTGGTAGATTTTTTTTATGTACAGAGCAATGTTTCTTAATGTTTAATGCATTACTATGAGACATACATTTATTTTTTACTCGTGCACACATCATTGATTTTTTTTATCACATGTGAATTGTGTGTGCAGATACTGTCATAAACTAAGATTGTTTTTGTGCAAATCACACTCATTATTAGCATCATCAATGATTTTTGTACTTTTGTAATATACAAGGATATGTTTCTTTTAAGTAAGAAAATTTTCCATCTTCTAATGACAACTTAATACAGGTATGCACATTCACAAATAGCAAAATGAATTGTGGAAACTAATCCATGAGTAATCATCTATGTATATTAATGAACATTAGAAGTTTTATACATTTTTCTTGGCTATATTTAACTGTACTGTGGATTGTGTATAAAAATGATTGTTTCATGACATTATCACTATATTACAAATGTTCTTATACTTATTAATAAACTTCTGTTCAAGAGGAAGTCAACTTTGTAGATCATAATATATTATTGAAACTAACTTTAAAGGAAAATGAAGTATATTATTACTTTCAAAATGCATAAAAAACCCATTGTTTGCTAATGAGATTCACATAGCTCACCAAGATATGAAATCTGAATATATTTATTATTTAAAAATCAGCACAAAAGACTGAGAATTTTATGCTATAAGGTTTTTTTTTTTAGATTGACCTCCTGGGGAACAATGTTTATGACTTCAGCCACCCCTGTGATCATGAAGAAATCAAACAAATTTTGTCTTTTAAAAGCAATGAGAATTCAAAGCTTCCGATTCCTCGGGCATTTTTCTTTAGAATGAAATGCACTTTAACTAACAAGGGAAGAAATGTCAATGTCAGATCTGCTTCTTATAAGGTATGAAGCATTTAGTTTGTAACAATTCGTGGAAATATCTTTTGAACACATACATTTTTGGTAGTCATCAGGGTCTTTAAAAACTTTTAACCACATTGATATATTCTCCTTCTCTTGATCCAGTAAACCGAGAAATGTTTCTACCACTTTTTTGGTGCTGAACTTAATTAAATTATTAAATGTTTTCATAACCTGTTTGTAAAAACCAAAATTTACTTTTTAAAAAGAAAATGTTGTGAATGTATAGGAAAGTATTAAGAATACTTTGAAATATCATCCGAGTTCAGTTGGCTAGATTCTTTGAGTTCTACCCTCACTTATAATTTTGATATATAATATTCAGGCCTCTACGCTTGTCTCTATCATGTGTGTTATTGATAAAAAATTAGTAGACAACTTCATTAAATACTTTTTTTAGTGAAATACTTTGTATAAAGTTAAAAGATGACATTTAGTAAGAGTTAAGTAACTTTTTCGTACTTCTGGCTTTGTTTTTTTTTTAAATAGAATGAGTAGGTTTACTTCTGTAAGCTTTGGCTTACATTGTGGACCAACTCGGTTCTTCCCAGCCACTCGTTAAACCACTGAGTTTAATACTTTCTTTTTAAATAAGTCATTTAATAATGAAAAAATATCTAAATCTTAATTTCAGTGATTATTAAATAAGTCAAGATATCAAATGAATAATTGTTTAGAACACTAACTGTAGTGTTTTTCTACAATTCTTGTAAGCGAAATGGTTAAAGGCAATGTTTTTTTTTTCCAGTTTTTGCTCCATACTTGTAATGCCATTCTTGAGTTCTTGGAATAAATTGTATTACTCTGTTGGGAGATTGTATATTTATATGCACATTTTTACTTGAGGATTACCTTTTTTATCATGATATATTTAAACATGCATCATCAAGTGTGTGGGGTACTTTATCAGGAATGATTTTTACTTTATATTTTAAAATGTAAAATGGTACTGATACAAAAAGAATAGCCATACAGTTCATGTCACTGCGTGATCTCCTTTGAAATATAGTAATTAATTTGTTACGTTGAGAAATTGTCTTTTTGATGTGGCCTCGTATTTCTTAATGATACGACGTACTCTTGTTACAGTGTATCAAAAAATTTTTATCTTATGATAATCTGCATTTATAAGAAAAAAAACAAAACAACTTAATACATATCTTCAGAAACATAAGCTGAGTAACTTAAATAAACTTTAACCCTTTCATTGTGAAAATCAACTAAAGTTGTTTAAATCTTTATTACTGTTAAGTGCAGAAATTAACTTTTCTCCACGGCAGCCAAAAATGTTTCTCTCTACTACAAATCTCTCTTGGTCTTGAAACAACTGCTAGACATCTGTCTGTGCTACCATCTATGAGTGACATTGGTAAACATAAACAACACTCAGATAATGCAAGTAATTTTTTTTATTATACATGTGATTTTCTGTCAGTACTGGTCAGTTTTATTGTTATATATATTCATTTACATTATTAAATATTGTTTTCATGAAATTTTAATGTTGGATATGGAAACGTTATGGTCATTTCAAGTTGGGGAAGTAATAAATGAAGTCAAATTAAGTTTTATTTTTTGAAGGAGAATTAACAGTTTTTGATGAATGCCCCTGAAATATAATTACACAGTGAAAGGGTTAAGAAAAATATATCTTAAAACTTGGTTTATTTTTTCATAGTTAATATTGAAAAAATAATGTTATTTGGATCTGAATATTTTTGTAATAAACAAACTTAATCAAACACTGTTTCAATGGAAAAACCTTTTCCATTTAATTTAAATATATTTTAGAATACTTATCGTTATTCTTGCCTCATTTATTTCTGAGTTTTGTTACTTGTATGTGTATATTTATTCATAGCAAGAGATCTAGCTTAACTTTGGCTTGTAGCCAGTCAAATGTACGATTGTTTTCCCAATTTTACATACACATGCTCTAATTTTAATATCACTTACTAAACAAGCTGAGAAAATTGAGTATTTGGCCATTTGTAGAGATGTTCTCATTTTAAACATTATTTCTGTTATAATTGTCATCTGTTTACTTTATTTTGTAGGTTATCCACTGTTCTGGATACATAATCAACAATAGCCCTCTTGTGAAAGTTGAAAAAGAATCCTCTGAGGATGTCATCCCTTCAACGAGTTTCTTCATTGCGCTTGGTGAACCAATTCCACATCCTTCTAACATTGAAGTTCCGCTTGATAAACAGACCTTTCTGAGTCGACACTCTCTTGACATGAAATTTACATATGTAGATGAAAGGTAAGAATTTAGGACAGTTTTAATAAAGGTTTTTGCTACATATTATAAAGATTATAGCTTACGTTACCACATTTTAAAGGTTATTCATTATAACTAAATTTCCAACTCGGCAACAACAGAAATCTCAAGACGTGGAACTCTGTTAGTGTTATTTATGTAAGTAATAGTACTTCTAGAATGTTATTTACTTATATGTATAGAGATTTAAGTTTTATAGCAGAAATATTAAGTTTCATATAGTTAAATTCAAAGTTCAAGTCAACATTTGTTATACTGACATTCTTTTAAAATACAATTTCTTTATATATATATTAAAGTTTATATTTGAAAAGGTTTTATGTAATATTCATGGGTAATTATGTTTAGTTTGACATGTTGCATTTAGTGTTTAAATTCTGTGTATAGTTTAAATGCCAGGTCATTGCGTATCATTCTCTTACATGCTAACAGGTAGACTACCATCCATGTGAAATAATAAGTTAGAAATTAGTCAACAACTGATTTATTGTGTGAGTCATCTAATTTCAGCATCATTTTTTTTAGTGTATTTAATCCAACGTTATTTTTTATTTTTCAAAGATGAATATAGAATTAACATTTATAGTTACGGTATGAATGCCTTTGCTGGCAAAAGTCAATTATCAAAAATTATATTTCTCATAATACCATAGTATTGAGCTTATTGTATTTTTAAAAACCTCATTTTTTAATTGAATCTCGTACGATTTTTCTGAGAAAATTGTTTAACACTGTCATCTTATGACAGATTTAATTGGTCACATTTAAAAAAGTATTAAGTGCTGTAGCTAAAGTTTTGTGTTGTATGAAATAATATAAGAGAGAACTATGTTCATTTGAAGGATTCAAGAATTACTTGAGTATAAACCAGAAGAGCTATTGGGAAAGTCAGTGTATCAATACCACCATGCTCTCGACACTCGATTAGTGAAGAAGAATTACAAAATTTGTAAGTCATAGTTTTGATTTCTCAAAACATTGGTTATGTACCACAAAAACATAAATGGTTTGTTTATTTATTTAATCACTGGGTAGCATATTTCTGTTCACAATATGTTTTGACAAACATTAAGATAAAAATAAGCCAAAAAGTAGAAATTATCTGAAAAGTTCATAAAACCTCAGTTTATCACTTCAATGTATAATTATATAATATGCAACAAATTGTGCCTAATTTAGTAGTACATTTATATAACACACTGGTTATGTTAGAGCTTATTTGTATTAACACACAGGGTCGTCTCATTTCATTATTAAGCAACATGATTCTAATCATATTTAAGTTGTATCTGAAAATGGAAGTATGGATTCGGATGTTCAAATTCTTTTAAATATGTAGGTTCTCTACACTAAGTTGTAATGGTTACATTTACGTAGCTGTGAAAGTAGCTAAAGTTACCTACCTGATCGGGCAGAAATGAGTGCCAGTCCCTCTTCAATTTGACTTTCAGTGAGTCTGATTAATTGCACAGTTACGTAACAATTAAAACATGAGATTATTGCACATAATAAAGTGATTTAACCTTACACATGCTAGTTTACATGTATACAACATTTAAAAATTTTATTTGGGTGTTAACAATTTTGAATGCTTGGTCTGCTGAATTTTGTTTGTATTTTCTACAGTGAGATATTTTACAGTTTTTTAAGTAATCTGTTTTGCACCTATTTAAATCCTTCCATGTCAGTCTTTTTCTTTTTTGAATATTAGCTCAAAAAAACGTTGTGGTTTTTATTTTGTTTTTTGATAGCCTATACTTATGTTAATGAAACAATAGTTCTTTTATGACTTGTTGTTTTATTTCTGCACAAAATAATCTTGATAAATAAATGTTACATATCTGTATTTCTACATGATATATAGTAAAGAATAGAATAGGAATGATTTTCTCCAGTGTTTATGATGCATACTTCAGAATAAATTCAATAGAAATCAGCACAAACAGCATCATTTACCAATGGCCATCTAGTGAGCATATAAGTATGAGCAAATAATTACAAAATACGTCAAATAATGGTTTGCTCCAACTTGTGCAAATATTTTTTTGAAATGTGAAGTTCACCCGAGTCATTTCATGATAGGATAGTAATGTTTAGGTGGTATAACAGATAAGGACAGGAGCCCTTATAAATAGCATTTATGTGTGCTATACATGTTTAACCATTGAAATGCGTTACAGAAGCAATCCTGTCATTGACCTGTCAGTAGCAAGTGAGAATGCGTGTGTGTATCTGGGCTAGGAAATTAATAAAGATTATGTTAAGATGTCTTTTTAGTCTTTTTTTCAATTACAAATATCCGTCTTTTAAGTTGAATATGGTTCATTATGAAGAAAAGTTGATAGAAAAATTAGGTGGCACCTGATAACTAGTAATGCATTACTCGTTGTTTAAAAAAATTTAGCTTTGGCAAGAAATGCTTGTCCTAGTGCTAAATTCTTTGTTGGAACAGCACCAGTTCTACAAGGAGAGTAAGAACCTATAGATTTCACTTTATTTTTTTAAGTTATTGCCTGTTTTATTTCACAAGATAGCCACATAGTCTCAAGTGGTGCATTAGCAACATTATGGCATTCTAAAATCGTAAATAGAAAATTATAATTCTGTTTGCCTGTTGCATGTACACTTTTGGTTTTAAGAAAAAATAGTAAATAATATTAAGATACAAAATGTTTTATTACTGTTGAATTGCTGCATAAATTTATTGGAGACTAAATTGTAATGTCCATGTGGACTGGCTTTCTGCCAGTATTGCAAACTTGCTTTAATTATGAACATCTTATGTTTTATAAGGGCTCCATGCCTGTATTCACTGGCTCTTTGCCAGTAATGTCAATTAGTTTCAAGTCAGTTTTTAAAACTTTATGTAAAAAAGGCATGGAGATTGCAAATCTTCTAAGCTTTGATTCAGTTTGTTCATTCAGCTCTTAATAACTTAACACATCTTATTTGTTCTGACCTTGTGTTTCAATTAGATCTAAAAAGACCCAGAAATTCAAGAGCATTTCAGATGGTTGACTATTCATCTTTCAGACTGAAAAGAAGAGTAATCAACTAGTTGAAAACGTACTCGAGTTTCTGGGTCTTTTTAAATCTACTTGAAGTTATTGTTCATCCTTTGTGGTACTTCTTTCATCATGGCTTGTGTTTCAATTGAAATTGAAAGGACAGTTTAAAGTCAACATGATGGATCACACCTGCCCTCTATAGGCACTCATAATAAACTACTTTTGAAAATGCAGGAGCTTTTGATAGTTTTATTCTGGAGAGCAACAGACTTATTTTCTTGTAAATATTTTGAGTAAGATAAATCCCACATTCATGAGTGATTTGCATTGTAAGTTCTGTGGATGACATGCTTCAGAGGTCTTCATTAATAGTTAAACCAATGTTTCGACTTTTAGAATTGGTAAATATATCAATGTAATCTTTTAGGTAAATGATTGTTTGTGTTTATTGAAACTGCTGTGTTTTATATTTAAGAAATCTCTTGTGTTGTATAGACCCATTAAAAAGAGAGCAAGTAACAGCGTAAGTGTAATGAGGGTCATGGTGTCAGTATTGCAAGTGCACAACCAACTTTCAAAAACTGTGTATCATGCCTAATAGTTTTTTGCCTCAATCCAATACTGTTCTATTGCTTGAATGCTGTTTTAGTATATTTTGCTTCCCCAGTTGACTTGTCACATTTATGAAAGTTCTCTCTTTGTTACTACTAGTTCTGTTTTTCTTGGAATCCTTATTAGCTTTAGTAGTAGTCTGTCTACAATTTTGGCCAATCGAGAAACTTCTTGTCACACTCAAACATTTTCTTCCCGAGGCAGTGACTCGGTAAGCAGCCAGAGCAAGATGCAAAATAGTGAGAAAGTTGGTTTTCTATAATCATTTAATCTGTTGTATAAAGTGAGATTTTATCATTTAGGACATTTAATATACTACATTCAAGACAATACATTTGATTTTTGTGACATTTGTATCCTATTTACGGCATCAGTCATTATTTTGTATTTATGAGGTATAGAACTGAAATGAGCATAAATTCGTTTTTGTATGTTTTCAGAAAAGATAAGCTTTTTTTTTTGTTTAGACTGAGAAAAGGTTTGCTCTTTTATCTTGTTACTTTATAAATCATCTTTGACATGTGTTATGAGTAAGTAAAGATTACTTGTTACTCTATAAATCATCCTTGACATGTGTTATGAGTAAGTAAAGATTACTTGTTACTTTAATAAATCATCTTTGACATGTGTTATGAGTATGTAAAGATTACTTGTTACTTTATAAATCATCTTTGACATGTGTTATGAGTAAGTAAAGATTACTTGTTACTTTTTTATTGTACATCGTGTTTAATGTCTTTTTTTTTTTCAACTTAGTTGAGTCAGAAATTCAGTTTTAACTCTGCTTTATGTTTTCTCCCATTATTGTGTTTTACCTGTAAAATAATCCTTGCACTAGAGGGTATTATAGCAGAAGAGTAAAACAAAATTAACTGTGGTGTTGAGAGGAAACCAGCTGAATAGAATGCTGTTAATTTGTTAACTGCAAGTTCAAAACCCTAATATAACTTGCATGCGTAAATATCAAGCTTTGACCTCGTGCCATCTCTCATGGTATACAGTTTCATTAGCTTGGTTTGTGTAAACATAAAAATTGGGTACTGTTGTTTTGGAAGTTGTTGTTGGAGCTTAATTTTTTCATTTTAGTTTAATATTTTTCTAGTACTTTTTTTTATAAACTAGTATTCTTTATTTGTGTGTTTCACTTTTTAATTCTTAATCTTGGTATCTTTCAAGTCTTATTTTTTTAGTTTGTAAAAAAAAAGTTGTTTGTAAAGACAAATAAAAGCTTATGGTAGATACTGTCTATGAATAAATTACCTATTATGTAATTAAACAAATGCTGTAGAAGCAGTGTTTGTGTAAAAGACAAAACAATGATGTTTAGATTAATCAGTATTAGTTAGTGTGATCAGTTGATTGTTAATAAAAAAGATTATGTAAATTGATTCCTTCTGTGACTGGAATTTGAAAAAGAATTGACAAACCAAAACTGTTTTAATATTAAAATAGTATAGTCACTATTTCTCACCTCAATCTCTATAAATTATGGAGTAACTTTTCTGCATTTTTAAAACTATATTCAACCCCTACCCCCCTCTGCCTAACTATCAATCACTAATCATGTCATAGCTCATCAAGAACATTCCATGACTTTATGTGTATCTTTCAGGCAGGCTGAGATTTTACAAACATAGTAGTGGTTGAACAATAATTATGGTGTAAGCTAGATTGAGTAAGTGAATTATAATAATTATTGATTTTATTTAAGTCATTTACAAACCACAATTATGGTAAGATTTAGTAACAAAATGTTATATATCTATTTTTAAGACCAGTTATTTATTATTATTTTACTTGGATTAATTTCACTATCACCCAGCAATCGTTTTGTTTCAAGGGTGGGCCAAGCAACCACAGTGTCAATTACTACATCAATAATTCTTAATTGAATAAGTAGAGTTGTTTAAGCATTTGTTTAACAACAGTAAAAGCTTGGAATGGTCTATTCTTTCATTGGGGGGTGTGTCTGTGAGCCAGACTAGTTTTGGAGAATTCCAC